AAGTCTGGTCTATGTGAAGAAAGCCACACCACACAGACTGAACTAATTTTCTAGTGAAGAACAATTTGATTGGATGTATTTAAGCCAAATAATGATCCATATTAAATCAAATCTTTACTGTAGCTATACTACGGTACTTCAGCTTTACATGTTCGCTCCCCAACCCCATTCAGTACTTAGTCCCGAGTATTTCCTTAGGGCTTTAGGACTAGAGGAGAAAAAAAAGTTACTGCAGATTAGGAAAAAAAACCCCAAACCAAACAGTAAGAGTCCTATTTCCACACAAAATCTAAATTCCTCAAATTCAAGATAACAACATGCAGCCATAAAACCAGTCTTTCACCCCCAACAGGTCACAATGCAGATATACCATCCTGACTGTGTCTGAAAATAACTGCTCTAACACTTGCAGTTCTGCTCTGGCACAAACAAAAGCATCTCATAGTAAATTCAGATCTGTCCACACTGAAGAGTAATTTTTTTGTGTTTAGATACAACCTTCAAGGATGGACACTTTTTTTTTACTCCAACCTACTCCCCACCCTGTCTTTTTTTTGTGTTTAGTAAGAACACTGCTAAAACATTCATCCTTTTGTCCTAACAGTAACCTAGTTTAAAGTAAACTTGTAAGAACAGACACTTTACTTGGTTTTAAAATGCAGTGTTTGTTGTTAGAGCAACTCCCTAAGAAACAAGGAAGACGCCTGAAACTAACTATAGGAAAATCCTAACAACAACTGAAACTAAACTCTTCTGTAGATGAAAGCTGTAGCTACTCACCTTGTCAGTTCTGCCTCCACGGCTGGCCCTGCCACCACGCCCTCGGCCACCCCGTCCCCCTCTGCCACCACGTCCGGGGCGGCCAAGGTCTCCAAAGTTGATCTCCAGCTGGGATGTAATATCATTTGCTGGCTTGCGGAAGTGGTGATCCATCACAGAGTCCTCAGCATGAGCCTGAAATGAGTGTTTCTCCGTGAGTATGAAAAATCACCAAAAACTCTTTCATCTGTAGCTGCACCCTTACCACCACAGCATGCGTGTTCACCTCCAAATGCACTCCCAAATTGACGATTGATTACCTTGATTGATTCAAGTTAATAGACAGGGCAGGAATTGTTAGGAATCAAGCTATACCATTTGTGCAGATGACAAAACCACATATAGGTAATCAAATAAGCACTTGAGCAAACAAAGGTATTTTGCATTTCAAAGATAGTTCAGGAAAGCTCTGGGGTTCCTTCAGAGGAACAAATTTTAAGTTTATCTGAGACGAAAATGACTATCACCAAGCCAGTACAGCATTCTAGCATTGCTGCTCTTCTCACTTCGTATCCTGAGAAATCTTCAGGTTCTATCAATTCATTTCATTCTTTTTAAATACTTACTTGGTAACCCATCTTTATTTTGCTCAATGAGTACTTTACACTTTCTCATTTGCTTAGCCCTGTATAAATATTTAAAACATGGGAGATGGTAAGAATCCCTTACTGGTTTGTATTGGCCATAACAAACAGCGAATGAGGCACAAACAAGTTCAAACGCAATGTAACTGAAGTCACTAAAACATTAATGCTGAAAACAGAGAACCAGTCTCACTAATTACACTGAAAAACATGACTCTGACCACCTTTGCCATGACACAACAATCTCTTACAGCTGGTTGGTTGTCAGTGAGAAACCTGAGCCTTGAGGAGCAAGGTATGGGCCAAAGAGTTACATCTAACACCATAAATGCTACTATTCAGCACATTTGAGTGTTTCAAATTATTACACACTGAACACAAAAAGAAGCAAGTGTTTTAAAATTAATTATTTTTCCTATTTTGCAAAATTAATTTTTCCACATAGTAAGTCAGTTTTTGACACCTATCATCATACACAAAATGTAAAACTGACCACACTGAATCAGACCAAGGGTTTATCTAGCCCAGAACTCTGCCTCTTACGAGGCCCAATCATCACGTTTTAGAAATGTGACAACATACAACTCTTTCTTTTCCTATATCCACCTAATTTCTGGCACAGCAATTTTTACTTTTCTTGGTTTTCCTACAGAATTGCCATGTGCAAGCTTAAGCTTACCTGACTAGAACTTACTTTTCTTGTGGTGTAATTACGCAATATGCTGACTTGTTTCAAAGGCAATGTATTGTGCCATTAAGCCCTATACCCTTTAATTACCATTTGTGGATCCTTCATAAGGCAGCCAATGGATATGCAGAGGTCTGCAGTCAAAAGGCTGAAAGCTGCTTTCAGGGATTCCTTGAGTCAGTCACAAGCACCATAATGTACAGAGCCATAAAGAGCCTTCTCCCCCACCAATGTAATTACCCCTTTCTGTGCCCAGTTGTACATTTGGCCTCCACAATGTCTTGCAGTGGACAGCACTGCAATTTAATTAGGCACAATGAGAAATACCTCTCCATGCTGCTTTATTTCAAACATATTTCATTGGTATGTATTCCATGTAACAGCTGGCCCCCATCCCACTCCTGATGTTATAGATTTGAATTGTACACCCTTCCCTCAAAGACCTCTTTTCCAAACTTAGGAAGTCAGCCTAAGCAGTTATTTCTCAGAGAAAAGTCACTCCACATCTCAGCCTGACATGGCACTACCCAAATGTAAGTACACCAACAATTTGTAAAACAGTACACAATACCTTTTGTTATGGTTTTCACTCCTTTCCTATTACTTAATATTTTATTTACAGTTTTGATCACTGCAGGGTACTGAAATGATATTTTCAACATATTAGTAGTTGTATGACATTCTTTTTTCTGAGAGGTAGTATCAGTGGCTTTGTAGAATAATTCTGTGCGTTTCCTTCCCTACCCTGTTATTGCTTAAAAAAAACCACTACAGTCTACCAAAACCATTGTATTTTCCACAACTTAACTTTTGTTTAACCACTAAACCCAACAAATAGCAAATTCTGTATGTAAACCAATGATTGCTTTATCCAAAATAACTAAAGCTAATTTGAAACACCAATAGAAGACTTGCCATGTTCTCCTCATACTCTTCTAACGCTTAGGTGACAACAGACAAAGACATACCATACAAATTGCTTATTCTGAATCATCTTTGGAAGCATTTAATTTATACATATTGGCAACTCTCAGTAGTGCTCTGATCTAATAACTGATAGCTTCTCAAAGGCATTGCTGCACTTACAGGTCTTGGGGAAGGCTGTCAACAATCAAGAACAAGCTACTAACAGAAAGGGGGCCAAAGCAGACAGTGAGATATGGAAAAACAACAGCAACAAAAAATAAAGAGACTCATGATAGAAGCATTTATGATAAGGTTTGAATTCAGCTCAATTAGGAGCAGGGGTACTAATTATGAAGGCTCCTATATGGTGCACAGTTAGACAACAGGCATGGACAGAAGAGCTCCATATTGTATCTACTTGTATTCTCTATTTTTGTGACTTCTTAATATCCAGACCTTCATTTCAGAAGGGGCTCATATCAAAACACAGGTATTACCAGTTAGATATAAAGGATCAGTACCTCATTTGACTCCAGCAGACTCCCCTGCATTTCTGTCATCGCCTTTGTCTGATGAAAGTTGCGTGTCCACGCCAAAGTGACAAAAGGAACAAAGGGAGAAAACAAAAGGAAGAAATGAGACTCAACTACATACAGAAACAACAATAAGGTCACATGAACTTGCCGGATACAGATGTCACTGAGCACATGAAGCAGCAAAAGGATGAGATCAACAGCTGTGCAAGCATCCACAAAGACTAGAGGATGGACTATACCACAAGCGTGGAGACAAGAGAAATCTCAGATCGATACCAAAAAAGTTTAACACAAGCTGCTGGAAACCATAGTAGAGACCATGCATGCAGGCTGATCTCTAGCACCTCAATACATCAGGCACACTGCATACAGAGCTAGACAGATAAGAGGGTGGGATGCTTAAAATTACTGTTAATGAGAAAAGGTTTCTGCACAGCCTCGATTCAAGAGTCATTCCTCCAAATTTTGAGGAGATGAACTATTATTTTCCAAAACATATTTCTCAGTCTCCCATTGCAACCTCCTCTAAGGAAGTGGTTAGATTAGCAAGAAAGTTTGATGGCACAGGAAAGAGGCACAGCACAGCAGACACGGAATAGGAACTGATCTACTAGTGTATCAATCTTTCCAGGAGACTTGCATCCAAGCTTTTGAACAAATTTTAGGATCTCTCCACAACGTAACTCTTTCTCACTTTTTGTTCAGCTGTACCAGTAGAACTTAAAAGACTCAAGCCACTAAACCAGCTGCAGAGAAGGAAAAAAGAGGATGTCTATTTTATGGCATAACCCAATCTCCTGGAAAGAGTCTCATTAGACTAGGGCTGCCAATACACATGGATTTCATATTAAACCAGCAAGAATCTGAGACAGTACTAAGAGTTCATTTTATACAAAGTATCACTTTCTAGTAATTGCAAAGCAAATATGAAAGAGAGGAAAGACCCCAGACAGCATCAAGCGTTTCACCCCTCAGTGAAGGGTGCAAGGAGGAGGAGGAGGAGGAGGAGGAGGAGGACGACGACGACAGCTCTTTCACAAGACTAAGGCAGATGAACAGTACTAGAGCCTCATACTCCCTTTTCCCACAGACTCCTAGGGCATTCTCCCAGTAGTTCTCAAACTACAGGAATGAGGGTGGTCATCACAACACTTCAAATTTCTGAGAAAATCTACTGAGGCACATTGTAATTTTTCAGCCATAAGAGTACAAAAGATTTGGGACTGAAAACCAGAATTTACCTATAAACCAAGTCACTTCTACACATCAGCTCCCTTCTATATCAATAAGAATCACAGAAACCTTACATCAACTTTAATTTCATGACTCACAAGTATGTCCAAAAGGACAAACAGAAAGAACAGCAGGTGACTGGTAGGTTTTGTTCCTAACTTCTAAATATTCCACCTTCTAAACCTGCTCACAAAGGAGCTGCAGTGAAGGCTTTCCTAATGCCTGTATTATAGAGCTATTCTGCTATAATACTTCGCAAAAAAATCCCATGCTGCTTCCCAAGGAATCAGTGAACAATAAATAAGTGAAATGGGGAGAGACATCTCCTGGACATGCCATAAAAGCAGGCTAAAAGCACCTAGACCTAAAGGCAGTTTTGCTAATATCTCACTTCTGTGCTTATACGGCAAGGAGCTGTTAACTTCTCCTAAGTGTTAAATATATCTGACTCATTTCTTTGAAGAGAAGTTAACTGAATACACCTCTCAAATAGAGCAATCTACTAATGATGTCAGTTCTTCCATGAAAGTAATTTGATTAGTTATTCTCATTGGTTTTGTTTGGGTTTTTCTGAGTTAACTACTGATTCATTTTTTGAATGGAATATACAGTATGGATCTTTCTAGCTTCTAAATTACTCAGAAGTACCACCATCTTATTATACTATCATACATGCAGATATGTTAAAAAAGACTGTCTTCAGCTGACCAAATGTCAAACAAGTCTGCTTTGGAGAGACTGGGGTCGGGGAGGGACTTGCCAGGACTACAAGTAAATCTTGGTAAAGTACATAAATACTTCTGCTTAAATCTACTCTTTTAATACACAGCAACATTAAATCTAACTCAGTTTCCCTTTTCTACACACAAGCCAGAGAAAGTGGTATTTAATGAACACTTCAAACACTGAACAGCTTAAGGTAAGCAAAAAGATATGCAATCATTTAAAGAACTATCTTACTCAGCAAGAAAAGAAAACAACATGATTGCGACAAAACCAAACTCATTCTGAGTTCAATGAGATTAGAAATGGAGTTTTCATTGGAAAGTACTGAATAGTGCCTCCCCATCTATATTGTATCGCCAGCTTAGAAGAAAAAACTGACAAGGTGTGAAAAAGCAGAGATACATATTAGAAGACCAAACAGCATATTCCATACTATTTAGTTACTTCAAAGCAAGTCAGAACCATCTGGTATACAAAGTTGCAGGGCATGGATTAGCAGTGGGCCACTTAAGATACTACAGAGTGTTAAAAACAAAGATTTACGGCAGCCCTGCATTAGAAAACAGAGCTCTCGGCTCTTCCCTCCCTTCTGCAGTGAAAGAGTATGTCTCTCTTTGGCACTCTCACTATCTTGGAACAGAATAACCAAAATTTTGCAATGACTGAAATGAGTATGCTTGCGAAACTATAATTTTAAAATAATTCTATGGCAACTATGTTGAGTATCACTGGAACATACAAATGTATTTCACCTGATTTCTCAAAAGCTTCAAGGACACTTGTCTATATAGTATTACAAAATTAGAAGATACCTATGTTACAAACTTAAGATATACAGTTTAAGTATTAAGGTCTCTGAGGCACGACCAGTATTCCTTCAAGCTTACATCACATTTAGCAAGCACCATAAATCTTGTGTACTGCATAAAAAGCAAAGAAATGATTTGGTATTGACAAACATTTTCTAAAATGCTCACCAAGAGACAGTCCTTACAAAGTTGCCTGCCCAGATGCAGCAGTATTCCCATCTTATCTCTAGATCATATCCCAGTATACACCAACCTAAGGGTACAGATCAACTGCTAAAACCAACCACAGTAAGAATGGCTACTTATGCTACTGCATAACTTCAGTTTTATTAAGAGAAATGTTGTTCCCGCTTTACAAAATCTTAGCTACAGGTCAGTGTCTCAAAGAATGGAGCTCCCACTCTAAGAAGCACGTATCAATAGAAAAACCTATACAGTCTGGATACTAGCAAATATTGAAAATCACTTTACCTCCTCACTCTTTGACTTGTGAAGAACAAATCCTTTTTTCCATTGCCCATCAGCACCCTCATTTGGTTTACGGATGTTGAACTCAACTTTTGCACGATCCTTACTTTGAATAGCTTTCCACTCGTCCAGGGTCATTTCCTTAGGACCTTCTTCCTTAACTTCTTCAACCTCATTCTCTCTGCAGTAAATTCATGGATATTATGATCATGACTTAGAACTCACATTCTAGATACAACAAATTCAAAATCAGTCGTTAACCGGCATCAGATTATAAAAAAGGTTGTCAAGTATTTAACAGTTGAGGTGTATATAAAACCCCCTCACTTCTGCCACTCAGAAAGCACACATGAAAACTCATCTCCTTCAGTCAGAGTGCCCAAAAAAGTCAGATACCTTTAAGCCAACTAAATGGCAAGCACAGCAGAACATTAAAATTAACACTGACCCATGCTGTCTATTCTCCACATTAATGACAATTTCCTTTACAAATATCAAAGCCTAACTTCTGCAACAGACTTGTTTGCAGCTTTTCCCCCCTTTTTGAGATACCTCTCTCCCAAAGATTCAAGTTAAGGCCCCGAGAGAGAGCTTGTTCTTACCACAATTTTCAAGCATGTTAGTTTTTTAAAACACAGAATTTAATCAGCTTTGGATAGTCTGCTTCCTTTATTGAACCAAATCAATTATTAATTTCCCAGCTAACTGAAACAATTTTTACTTTCAGCTACCCTGAAAAAAAACCCAGCATACAACTTAGTTACTTGTGCGATATATCACCTCACTGTAAATCTTTCGTGCCTCTGCCTTCTGCCAAAGAGCTATTTTTAAGTAAAACACACAACCACTATGCTCAATAAACAGATCATGTTCCAACTACAGCCAATCCTCTAGTCATTCTTCAGTGTGCTTATGCAACTAAATTTCTGATTTATAGAAAACTAGTGCCATGTATGTGCAGCAGAAATATCATGAAAGCCTCAACTTAAAAGATCTTAATTTTGTAGCCATATTTTTGATGTAATAACGCAGAGGTTTTACGTCAAAATTACTGTGTTTCAATTTTTTCTCATTCTGTAGGACAGAATGATTTTTGACATGGTATATATATTCAGAAGCATTTTTTTTGTTGTTCAAGGCAAAGGTATTCCCCTTGGCATTCTGCACATCTTACTTCAGTAAAACATCCTACAATTCTGCTGAAACATTTAGGTTAGAGGTCCACACCAAACAAGCCAACTTGAAAACTAACATGTAAAGATGCTTTTCTATAAAGACAACTGATGGATTACAACAGATGCATTATGCTTGAACCTGAAAAGAGTACACATTTTCCGCAGATTTGAGGAAGAAGAAAAAAGCCATGCAAATAGCCTGGACAATTTTGCAGATAACTGATCTGCACATGGATGGGTCAGTATCTGGTCAAGCACCAGGACACTGCTACTCATAACGATCCAGGAAATACTGCAGACAACAAATTTAATATATCCAGATTTCCAATACACTTAATTTTAAGCTAGCTAGCTTGCATTTTCTGACCAAAGCTCAAGCTGTAATTCCTTAAAAAATTCTCATACTACTTCTGTGTACAAGATTACCTTAACCTTGGACCACCACAACCTGGGAGAAGTAATACAGTTTAGTCTTTTTTTTTAGTTAAATTAAGTCAATTTTTTATTCTCTACACAGTAATTGTACCCTCTTTACCACTAACCAAAGTTATTGATAAGGAAATCAAGCTATAGCAAACTCCACGTTAGAAATATCGGACAAACAAGTATTTCAAAATTCTATCTTACCTGTTTGCCATTTTCTTTTGAATTCACCATAAAGCACATTCCTCATTAAAATAAAACATTTTATTGTACTATGCTACCATAAATATTTGTATCACATTTTTACATCAACTGCAAGTATCCCTACTGCTCGTTCTGCTTCTCTAGTTACTCTGTGTTCATTCATCTAGTCCCTGGTTTCTTCTGCAACAGTGTCCAAGTGGAATGAGAAGCAACTGAGTGACTTCTTTGAAAATTGCCTGCACACACAGAAGCCGGAGAATGAAAGACACACAACCTTTCCTCTACAGGCTAGTCACACCGCCAAAACCAGTTGTCCTGAAAACTGTGTTGTAAAAAACATTGCTTTCCACCGGCAGAAGAACATTTTGTCCCTTTTGCTTGGTGGTTCTACCCAGTTATGAGCACAGATGCTTTTGCATTTGGTACTTAGGAGTTGCAATCCCAAGAACCTAAGCATATTAGAACTGATCATTAATAACTAAATCTGAAAATTATCTAAGAGCCTGCATGACACTAACGAACAATTTCAAGATAACAATTTTTAGACATACAGTTTTTAAAGAGTCTTTCAGCAGCGCTGTGGATAATTTCATATCTACTGAAGAAAATATAATCTGGATTTGGCAAAACAGAAGTAGGAATACATGAGAGAGGTTAAAGGCAAAGTAATACTACCTTTGAAGCACTCAAGGAACATTAAGAGGGGTGGTACTCACTTATTTTCAGAATCAGCAGGCAGATGTTCCTCTCCCTCTGGCGTTTCCTCAGTTACAGCTGACTGATCCAATTCACTGCAATTACATAATGTTTGGAATTTTGTTTTTTAAAAGTTCATCCCTATTTAAAGCTACATAAGATTAACAACCAAGTTCTATAGTGGATTTAGACAACCCACTCTTCTTTAAAAACTATTTCATTGAGAATTGGTGCTCTCTGTGCCTTTTAAATTCTATGCTTTCCACCTCCCTAATGGTTTTCCCCAACACTTACTAGTACCCATTCTGAAAGCCTCCCGCTGTACCTTGAGACACAAAATGGATTTGGGTATTAAAAATAAAGCATGCTTAACCTGATCAAATTCTGGTTTTAGTAAAAGAATTTTTCAAAGCCCTCCCCATTCCAAACCTCCCCAAAATTCTGATTTTAACAGTGAAGCCATCTCTTATATTAGACGAAATCACTAACTTCCTAAATTCTGCAAAGGTTGCTTTAATAGTGTAGCAAAAACTATCAAAGGCAAAAAAGACAGCTAAGTCTTTACGTTTTGCAAGCTGTAAGATTAGGATTTATTAACATTCTGCTAAGTTTTCTGAGCAATTACAGATTACTAACGTTAGCTCGTCTTTGACGGTTCCCCAGTTGTGCGATCCACTGCCACCACGCTTGTCCTCATGCTTTAGGCCGCTGAAATGTGAATGTGAAACAGAACTAACAAAACTGAGTTAACATTATAGTGTCCAGATACAGAAATTCAAAAGCAAATTTTAAAATGTGTTTTAATTGTAAAGAATAGTTAAAAAGAAAAAGAAAAAGTTAAAGACTTACGATCTATCGCTGCCACTGTGTCTGTCAAATTCACGTTTGCCACGAGAGTCAAACCCATCCCCTCTGCCCATTCCACGGCCACGGCCACGTCCTCTTCCAAGTCCACCACGTCCACGCATAGGTCGGTCAAGAATGGGTCTAGTATGGAACAGTCAAACTTGAACATTTCACCTCCAAAAATTTACAGCATGGTTTTTAAGGTTTTCTTTTTCTCTTTTCAGAATTTTATTTACTTACTTTTCCTTTGGTAATTACTGTTTGTAACTGTGTCGAGGCTCTAATTTCAATGCCAAATCATTACACTGAAAAGACCCAAATATATAATGCCTGCATTTTAGAATCTGGAAACAAATGCTCAGGATTACCGTTCACTTGCATCTTCTGGCACTAAATTCCAAAATATAGTGTTTGTATTGTGTTACATCACTAGCTGATACAGTAATTTCAAGGCAACTCACATTCATCCAACTTACTTTTAAAAGGATTTTAACTTTGGCTGCTAGAATTTTAGTATTTGAACACATGATACTTGAGACACTTTAAAACTTGCCTAGACATAAGATGGCTTCACCAATTCCAGATCTGAAGTCACTACAGCCAAGGTATAAACACCTACACGGACTAACTTTTATTGGCTTGAAGTCAGCTGTACAGATTTAAGCAACAGCTGTAACAGCAAACAAATCTCATCCTGCAGGCAACAGCTATACTTGAGTTCTTTTCCTGACCCATCTGCTATAAATTTAGAGAGATATGGTGGATATCTTACTGATTTAAACTGTATTTTCAGTTAAACTAATGGAACTGTTCATGTTAGATCACTCCCAGTCTATAACTTGAACCAAGTTTGTAAACAAAATAATGGAAAAGGAAAGAAAAGTGTTATATTCTGCATGACATATACTCTTCTTGTGACCGACAAAATTTGATTCAGTTTTTTTTTTTTTAAACTTAGCAGCAGTTTTTTTTAAACTTAACAGCCTCTTCCTATCAAAACTAGGAAAGTTGTCAGGCAAGACAAAATTCTTACTTATCAACAGAAAATTCTCCTCCTTCTCCTTTCTCATCAGCAGGTTTGTCAAAGCGGCGCTCACGAGGAGGTCGTCTCTCCGGTCTCCTGTCAATAGGCTTGCCTTCACCCTGCTGTTGCTGCTGCTGCTGATCAGGCCTCCTGCCAATACGTCTTATCCCTGAAACATTAGGCGAAACACATCAACGGAATGTGGAGCTGCTCTGGGAGATACTGACTGTAACACCATAAAACAATATTGAAGGTAAGCTGGAATTGAAGTTTTTCTTTTAGCCTTGTGGCTAGATAATCTGAGCAACTATACCTTTATTAAAAAGTCACTGTAGATCATTTGATTCTTCTTATTCACATTTTTATGCAGCATTTCAATCAAACTGTATTTTGTACAAGTGTACACTCTTACAATATTGTAGGAAACAAAATCTGTCAGAGCACACAATACATTACTAATCCATGTTAAAATGACAGGGTCAACTTTCAAAGAAGGATCAAAGTAAGCAAGATTTTTTTTTTTTTTCTGAAAGGTGTTTTTCAGGTAAAGCAAGTGGTTTTTATTTTGATGCACACCAAAATGAAGTCAGCATCACCACGCTGGACCCAAGTCCCTATGACAGCCACCCTGCTTTATCCCACTGCACTCTTCTTGGAAACTTTTTTGGTCAGCAGTACGACCTGGGGCAGAGTGTGCTCTCCTACAAGGGCCACCCTTACCCAAACAGGTGTCCCTTGCATCCCCATGAGCAGGCAGCCCATTACAGTAGGTACTGGTCAGTGACTAAATGGTGTGTTCATCCACACCAATCCTCGCAGCCCAATACACACTCCCTGATGAAGACTCACCTCGTTGTGCACTTACTTAAAATAGCTGAAGAATACACTGTGCCACTGAACTGGCTAGTGTTCTTCCCTCCCTCTCTATGCCTTCCAAAAGTTTGGTTTGGGTTTTTTTTTGTTTTGTTTTTGTTTTTTTTAAATAGTAACTTCCCATGGGCATTATTTTCTTCACTAAGGCATCTGAAGGATCATAAATACAGGGGGGTTTTCCACTCATCTGAAATGCCCGTTCACTCTTCTTTAGGAAGGTATGGACAAACACGTTATTCCTTTGTTATACTATTTTCTTGCCAAAATGTTTAGGGAAAAAACAATAAGCAAACCACCAAGACTGGCTTAAGAATTGTGAACTACCTTTTAAATTAAAAGCTGCCAATTTTTAATTTTTTTTTTAAAGAAATAAGTTCCTGCCTAACAAGCAATGGCATATTTGGGTGGGGCTAAAGAAGTTACAGTTCTAATGATATCCAAGCCAACACACCCAAATGAACAACATCTTCCTTACCTTACAAGCTGTACTTAACATTAAGTTTGCATGACATACATTGCTCGCTAAGTAATCCTTACTCCCTGAGGAAACACAGGGGTTAAACTCACTAACATTTACCTTGAAAAGGACTCTCAAACGAAGGACAACCATTTCATTTTAAGAGGTAAAGCTCAGCAAGGAAAGCAAACAGGCCGGTGTCACATAAGAGGTATGCTGCAGAACTGGAATGAATAATGCACGTCTTTTGAATTTCGAGTTCAACACCCTGCATTCAGAAAAACCTGGTTCCTGGTGAAGCCTAACCAAAAATACAAGTTATTTCTTTTTCTTAGTATCACAAAGCTTTGAACTGGTAATTCACTAGTCAAATAATCTGCACCTTTACAGAGAAATGGAATAGTTTTAAACTGTAATACATCCACACAGGATACAAACCCCATTGATACCATGGCATCCAACACCTTTACAATGTTAGAACTACTGTCCCGCACAAAAAACCAGCAATTTTCAAACTGGAAAGTCACTTTGTTTACTACAGCACTCTATACACACTGCTACAAAAGCAGACCTGACTTTCTCTGTTTCACTACTGTAATAAGCCACAAGATACTTCTCATAGTGAAGTAGTTCTTTTTCGTGAAAATGAATGTGAAAACTGGGAGGCAAACACGGACTGCTAGCCCTACCAAAAACCCTCTGCGTTCTCTTGTGTTGGCCAAAGACACTGGCCATGTTTCAGGTGCACCTCACGTGGGACAAGACCATAATTCTGCATGTGACTAACATTTCCAGAGGACACTGGCTTAGTAAATTGCCACTCAGGACAAATTATTGCATTCCTCACAGAGAAAAAACACTCAAGCTTTAAAGTGCAAGATCCATAAGCAAAGCTTGTCACAAGGTGTTTTCAAGTAACATTTTGGGAGGCCTACTTTCTAAAACAACTAGTATATTAAAACTTTTTCTTTCTTAAAACACATACAACATGGTGAAGAATCAGTTTGCAACATGCACTGCAGCAAACGCCAACGTATTAAGGTGCTTTCACGTAGCACTGTGCTCTTCTGAACCGGCCGCGTTTCTGAAAAGATCACTTGAGTTAAACTGCAGTGAGCAAGTTATTTCCTCACCTACATGCCAACTGCTGTCACCACACTTTGATACATTTCACGGATTCCAATTTAATCAGAGTCCTGACCAATTCAGGGTGCGCTGAAGTTTGTGCGCAGTGCCAACTGCCTGCCACGGGACAACATGTGTGCGCAACATCTATCCCTCTCCATGCAGAGCTGTGTCCTACTAATTACTTTGCCCGCAGCATACTCCTTTAACCTATGTATATTCCGATTTCTTTTTTCAAGAAAGTTTCCCATGTGGGATGTCTTGAGGGTTTACACAAACACGGCTGAGAATTCACACAGCCAATTCTTAAAATACACACGCGATTCCTACCAACACCGTTCCCCAGAAAAATGACCCAAGTGGCTTTTGAAGAGCCCGGGGACTGCCAGATACTGTGTCAAATACGTCAGACCACCCGGAACACACCATAAGTTTAGGATGCGTTGCTGGGATTTTCTATTTCACGTCAGCCCTCTCCCGCGGGCAGCCCGCCGTCCTCCGTGGCCCGCCACGCGAGAACCGGCGTTTCGGCACACAGGCAGCACCCGGGCACCCCACGCGCGCACGCCTCCATTTTGCGCGGGCCGGGCC